AAATTATTTTTTAATATAAATTATTTTTTTTTTTTTTTTTTTTTTTTTTTTTTTTTTTTTTTTTTTTTTTTTTTTTTTTTTTTTTTTTTTTTTTTTTTTTTTTTTTTTTTCCCTATTTGTGTATCCACTGGTAAAAAAAAAAACAACAACTTCCTCTCTCTTTTCATCGACTTGCTGATATATTTGTACGCTAGTTTGTGTGGGATATGTTCACTTTTATAAACCCTTAAGTTTTTGAATATGTACCTCGATAGTAAGATCTATCCAAATAAATGAAATGAAATGAAATACAAAATGCACTCAGTTTTCTAAAATTCTTTTCAGGTTTTTCGACTACGACTTGTAACGTTGTACTATCCGTTTCAAAATAGAAATACACTACCGTTTTTTGAATAACTTTTGATAGGAATAAGATACAGACCTGCGGATTTCAGCATTTGATAGAGGACACTTGGGGCTATAATCCAGCGGAAAAACCCAGCCTCCCAAAAAGTTTACCACAGTGTACTTTTCGAAATAAAATGTCCGACCCTGCCATTTCAAAAATCTAAGTAGCAAAGTACTGCTCTAAACATATGTGGATATACAACAGATGTCACTCTACAACCTGCCGTAAGTCCCAAGTGTCCAGCTGCCGTGGTTCGGGCGCTACAGGCTACCTTCGGGAATCTACCTATCGGCTAAACCTGAAGTCCAGAAACCTTAAAAACACATGAAACATAGGTTTTCGAACACGGGAAATCTTGTGGCAATGTTTGTGTTGTCAGGATTAAACAAGCTTCAAAAGATGAATTTTTCAGAAAATTTGGTTTTTCAGCTATGACCGTACTAAAACAAAAACCTTCTAGCACCATCATTTCTCAACCAAAGTACTTCAAATTTTCAAAACTCACTCAGTTTCGCTTACTGTACAGTTCAGGAATGTTAGCATGATGTTTTCATACTGAGATTTCATCTAAAGATCTTGAGAGGTTTTCTGAAAAACCTGTCGAAGATCCACTTTGTTTTTTACAGTTCTGGTGGTGAGATCGAATAGAAAACCTGCTCTTATGCTCACTCTTCAACTTTCATGCAATTTGGTTGAGAAATGACCACTGAAGAGTTTAAAAGTAATTTTGAAAAGTTAAAAGTTGATAGCTTTTAACAAAAGTTGAGTAGATTTATAAATCGGGTTGAGATTTATAAAAAGTCGCTTTGTCATTATATGATATAGAGTAAGAAATATAAAGCCAAACGTGCTTCTATTTTGCACAACGAGTATATTAAAGGATGTGAAGAGAGAAAAGAAAATGTACAGAAACGAAGACAGTATAACATGTGTCTTGTATAAGAAAGAAAAAAAGAAGACAAGCTCATTTTGCCGATATAAAACGTTTAATCGAGTGTTGTAAAAAGTTTGAAAGATAAATAATGAGTGACTTCGAAGAAGAATTTAGCAGTGCAAGAAATAACAACAGCGATTCACCCAAACTTGGAAGAAATCGTGATTACCTTTGGGAGCATTTTACGGATATTGGACAAGCAAAAACAGGAGGTCATAGAAAATGCCATTGCAAGTATTGTTCAAGTCAGTTTAATTACGCCAAAATTATCCTGATGTATCGACATATTGCACATGAATGTCAAGCCATTTTACAAGACAACCCACAAGTCCGTAAAGAGGTTATTCGACGTTTATTAAGTTTAAATAATCAAGAACAGAGTCCAGAAGAATCAACAAGAAAACGATTGAAAAGAAATACTGGATCTCCCTCATCTACGTCTTCATCATCTAATAGTCGTCAATTACAAATCGATTACTTTAGTGCTCGTTCGATCCCGCTACGAGAAAAACAAGAAATTGATCGGTCATTATTACGTGCATTCATTATGTGCGGGATGTCATTTCACACAGCGAGCAACATATTTTTCAAACAATTTCTAAATAAACTGAATTCGATGTACGTGCCACCCGATCGAATGAAACTATCTCGGGACTTGTTAATACAAGAAACAATTCTTGTTGAAAGTAAAAATGATGAAATGTTAAACGAAGCTCAACATTTAACATTAAACATGGATGGATGGACCGACCAAGCGGGTCATTCATTGTACGAATACAACGTTGGTGTGTATAGCCGTTTTTAGGTCAAAATTTGCTGATGCCCATTAGTACCTGTTGAAATAAGATTAGCGTATGGATATCCGAAAATGAACTCTCTTGAGTATAATATTACCTTTCTTTTCGTCATGTATGCACAGTAGAACTTAGCAAACTAAAAGTTTCCTATGTACAACTGCAGCTTAACTAGCCTAAAGCCTCTTGCGAGTCCCTCTCACTTTTTCGGGCTCAAATTCATAAGTTTTCTCACATTTTAGTCACAGAAACGAGAAAAAATGTGATTCTGGCGCTGAAAGACCTCAGTGAATTTAATCATACAGCAACATTTTTAACCGATCAACTGGACAATGTTCTACAACGTTCGTCAATTACTTCTAATATAGTAAAAAAAATTCGTGCAATTGTAACAGACAACCCAGATGTAATGAAAAAAATGAGAGAAACATTTATATCAAAACTGCTTCATCAACATGTTTTATCGCTAAGATGTTTTGGTCATGCGATCAATTTGATTGCTTGTAAGTGTATCGCTAATTTGTCTATGTCTCGCCTTTTATCATTTATTTTTTGCTTTTAGGTGATGTAGTTAAACATAGTTTTTCATCAAAACTGTTATCAAAATTATCAACTGTGACAACCTATTTCAATCAATCGCACAAATTCAAAGCAATACTAAAAGCTGAAGCGAAACGAACTCATGTGAAAAAAGAGACATTTGATTCCATAGGCGATACAAGATGGACAACAGTGGCTGATTGTTTAAAATCGTTTATTTTGTTGAGAAATCCGTTGGAAACAATCCTTTGTGTACATGGCGAAGCATTACCACCTAAAGTGTTGGTCGTTCTGAAACAAAAGCAGTTGTATCGTGAAATTGACAATTTGTACTGTATTATGCGAGTATTGGCTTACGCAGTTGGTATTATACAGGCTAATTCGGCTACATTAGCTGACTGTTATTTAATTTTAATTTATATCACTCGATTAATGGCAAAATTAACGGCTCAAAATGATACAAAAGAATTTGGGCGCTTTGTTAGTAAATCGGGGAACATTCGATTGAAAGAATTTCAAAACGATTACTATTTAGTATGTTTTTATTTACATCCAAAATATCGTGGTGCCGGTATGTTAACAAAAAATCGGGAAATTGTTTATCGAACGTTAGCGGATATAGCAAGAAAATTGGAAATAATGTAAGTATTCTTTGATTTATCATACCGTCTCGCCCCTATTTAGAGCTCAGGTCTTTGGCAACTCCATTTGTGTTTTTAGCTATTGCTCACTTCTCGGTTGACTAAAACGTTTTTGAATATTTTTCAGGCATCAACTACAAAAAGTGTTGTGAGTTCATTACAACGTTATGAAATTAAGCATCATATTCAATAATGTATACAAAACATGATAATCCAACAACATGGTGGTCGATGATACGCGATGAAACTAACGGAAACAGTCTAAAAGACATAGCATTACAATTATTTTCAATAGTTCCACATGCCGTTATGCCAGAACGTTTATTTTCAATGTTAGATTGGCAAAATACAAAACGAAGAAATAGACTAAGCCCATTCACATTGGAAAGTGTATCAAAAATTTACACGTATCATAAAAATGCTTCTAATAATGAATCGCCTATCGATATGGAAAAAATTGAGAAATGTTTATCGGACGAGTTGAAAGCTGCAACAGAAAAAAGCCCGACGATAACCACAAATGATTTATCAAATAGTTTAGAAACATTTATGCAAACAGTCGATGAGAATCAACGAATTTTATGCGAATTAGCTGGTACCGATACAATTGACGAACAAAATATTGAAGATAAAGATCTGTTGGATTTAACTACAATGATCAATCATGACGATCGAGAATTGACAAAAATGTTTGTTGATGTTGGTCTGGCAGAAGAAGAGAGTAATGGTGAAGATGATGAAAGTATTCCAATAGAAGCGACCGATGATGACGGTAACAATGACGATTACAACATCGATGATATTCTTGGTCCTCTATTTGTTGAAAGAACATAGTCTTTCTTTTCTTCTTGTATGATATGTATTTTTATGCAGAAACCATATAGTTCTGCTGCAAACTGGGCTATAAAAGATCGACTGAATAAAAGAGCTACAATCTGCCTATGTGCACTTATAAATCTCAACCCGATTTAAACATTTTAAATCGAACTATTTATAACTATTTTAAATTTTTCAGTAAAAGTTAAAATAGTTATAAATGGTTGGAGTTATAAATATTTATAAATCATATACTTTTAAACTCTTCAGTGGAAATGACGGTCCTAGAATGTTTTTATTTTAGTACAGTCATAGCGGAAAAACCAAATTTTCTGAAAAGTTCATCTTTTAAAGCTTGCTTAATCCTGATAACAAAACAAACATTACCACGAGATTTTCCGTGTTCGAAAACCTATGTTTCATGTGCTTTTAAGGTTTCTGGACTTCAGGTTTAGCCGATAGGTAGGTTTCCGAAGGTAGCCTGTAACGCCCGAACCACGGCAGATGGAGACTTGGGACTTACGGCAGGTTGTAGAGTGACATCTGTTGTATATCCACATGTGTTTAGAGCAGTACTTTGCTACTTAGATTTTTGAAATGGCAGGGTCGGACATTTTATTTCGAAAGGTACACCGTCTGTATCTTATTCCTATCAAAAGTTATTGAAGAAACGGTAGTGTGCCTTCTATTTTGAACGGATAGTAGTAATGTAAATAGTACATATTGTTGGTTTTAGTTTAGTTTTTTAACTTAATTTAGTTTTTTCATTAATCTTGGACCTATTTGTATGCAAAATTCCATATCTCGCTCAAAGTAAGATTCTAGAGTTTAAAATCGATTTTCTATATCCAGTTCTGTACGAAGAATCGAATGGTAGCGGTTCGAAGAAAAAGTAATTTTTCCTCTGTGAAGCCATTTCTTGATACATCTGTGGAACGTGTCTTTAGTACATTTCAAGTAGCGGTTCGAAATCTAGGCGTTTGTGTCTTTTACTTTACGATAATACCGAAGATTAAAACTATGTCATAAGATTTTGGATATGTTTACAATCCTAAAAGCTTCCGATGAAATAGTGTCATAAACGCGCTCAAACAGGATAATGAGTCAGGATAGTGCATCTAATATCATTACGAAGATAGGTAGCATGGCAATTAGACGATTAAGTAACGCCTTATACAGATCAGAGATGGGCTCCGGCTCAGTTCGACTCCAACTCCGCTTCAACTCCTACAGGAACTTATTCTGTCCTGATTCATTTTCTTCTTTATTTTATTAGCAATTGTTTATTTCGCTTTTGTTTACGAGAGTACACACAAAAAAACTCATTTTAACAATTCAACAAAAAACGGAAAAAACTGTCAGACTTGTAAAAAATTTCAACTGAGTTGTGGAGTTAAACTTAAAAAAATCTGAACTCAACTCTACTCTAATAAAAACGCAACTACAACTCCATTAAAAAGAAGCTCAACTCCGCAGTTGGAGTTGCCCATCTCAGATACAGATGCGGTCAGTTACACTTGTTTCACACCATTAAGCATCGATATATCCATTTATACATTGGCATTACGCAGTTCGCTTTCCAAAGAAGATCAATAGAGGCGCTAATTTAAAAGCTGAAAAGAGAGTCCGTAGAGTAAGAACTAGAATAAGAAAAAGTTCTCATTTGCAATTAAACGTGGCATAGCTATTAATAGATATCGTCAAAAGTTTAGCCAAACATCGTCAATAGTAGAGAGTGATAAAGAAAAGCATTTGTTTAAATTTTTTCACAAAAGTTTCTCTAAAGATGTTCAAAAAAACATTGTAGATGTCGAGAGCTTGAGTTTTGACTTTTAATTTATCTCGTTTTAAATAAAGAGTCAAGCTATTTCCGTTGGATGAAATGTTTTTTCGAAATTATTTAATAGATTAATTCCTAAAACGAATAATCCTTTTCTTAATTATTTTGTTTTGCTTTAGGACAATTCCTCAACATGCACACATCATATTTAATTATTTTAGTCTTATTATTTTTTTGTTCAATTGAATGTTTGTTTTTCCAACCAACGTCAACAACAACCACAACCAATTCACCACCGTCAACGCAATCATCAACATTTTCATCACCTTCATTGTCAAATTCCTCATCGAGAATAAAGATTCACGAAACAGATATGGTTAATAGTATGCAACAGGATGCATTATCCATTGGTGAAAAAGCTTTACGTTTATATGGCCCTTATGCTGTTGGTGCACGCTCACGCATTGGTGGTCATATACGGGATGAGTTCAATAGAAAATATCCTAAAGGTTGGCAAACAATTGTTGGTAAAGATTTTGGAGCATTAGGTATTACAGCTCAACCAAATTATTATATTTTATTTCAATTGATCGTGTTATAGTTTTATTATTTAAGCCTCTTTGTTGATAAACAATATCAATATTGTAATAATGAACAAAACAAATTAACATTTTTTTCTCTCTTTTGTTATATTTTGATATTTCTGCTAGGAAAAAGAATTCGATAGTTAGCGTAATTCATGTCATCAATACCACAAAATACCGTCCGGTATTGGAAGAAAATTTCTTTGTGTTTCTTTTCTACATTTACTGATACAAAACAAAAAAGTGAATGGATAGACACAGTTACCGCGCGGTATTTAAAAAATAGCTCGACATAGGAAGAACACGTCAAACTAATAATAAAAAATAATGCGTCTTAAGTTGAAATGCAAATCAAATTATAAACAAGCAGATTCTTTTAAGAATATTTTGTAGACTTTTCTTTATCTAAAAACGCCTGTAATAGCCAAAATATTGTCAAAAGTAGAGACTTTAATAGACTGAATATAACCAATAAATGCTTAAGGGCTCCCCTCCCCCACTCAGAAACCTATTTTCGTCAGGAACATTCAACCTTGATGAAAATTTCAGACAATGTGTACCTTGAGGTAACTTAGTCATTCTACTAATTGCAGCCTCTTATCACTTGTTTTCCCAGAGTTATTCTTAAATTAGTGGTGAAAAAGTATGGTTTCGTACTTCCAAGATTCCGCCGCCATTTTTCGAGCTAGGAATTTTGGATTGGTTTCAAGAAATAGAGAAATGTTTCTTCTATGTCGTGACTTAGTTGGACTTTTCAATTTAAGTTTAGTTTAGGAGGAATTTAAAAAGTTTCCGACAAGTGAGAGAGATTTTATTTACTTTTCGGAGATTTTTTAAACCTCTAAACTAAACTTAAATCGAAAAATCCAACGACGTCACAAAATAGAAAAAACATTTCTCTATTTTTTGAAATCAATCCGAAATTTCTAGCTCGAAAAATGACGG